TCACGGCTACATAATGATAAACTATTTATAAAAGTGTATATTGTTCTATCAATTAAGAAGCTTAACAATGAGTCAATGAAAAAAATGATCAGACAATATCTGGCAATAATGGACACTTTAATGGTAATATATATTAATTTAAAGACATTTCTGATTAGTTTTTGACACATATCAAAAAATATATGTTAGTTAATGGTACGCTGATTTGATATGAATTGTGAGTTATCTATTCTATTAAAATAGAGTCATTCTTTTTATCTACTGATACAAGTTGTCATTTAAATTTGGATCATTTCTAGAGTGTTACAAATAATAGAAGTTATATAGTTGATTGAACCGCATTACTTAAATTAAACCGGTGGTTATTTATGGAATAGAGCTTTGGCTTACTTTTGTTTTTATGACATTTAATTGTTTGGTTTTTGGGCTTATTATTAAAGAAAAACTCCAAAAAACATTAAATAAACTTTCCAGCTTAATGGATCAAAAATCAATTACTATTTTCAGGCCCAAAAATATTTAATGTTTTCAACAAAACAAAATTATCTATTATTAATCACTTATTTAAATCATATACTTTAAAACATGTTAATATTTTTTAGCCCAAAAATATTTAATATTTTCAACAAAAAAAAATTATCTATTATTAATCACTTATTTGAATCATGTACTTTAAAACATGTTAATATTTTTATTTTAAATAACAATCACTCTATCTTGATAAATTTTAATGGTAAATTTTAAATAATTATTGTTTTATTTTTCTTAAATAATTTACAGATTTTAAAAAAAATGTAAAGCAAACGCAAAAACCAAATCTAAAAACTAAAATCCAAAACCAAAAGCTGAAAATGCAGGTTATATTTTTTGCTTTTTTTATTTACAAAATAAACTATTTCAAAGTTTTTAGAAAATTATTTTGTCATTTTTTCAGTTTTAAATTAGATGTTCGATTAATTGATATTTTTTTGTTGGTAATATCAGTTCAAACTAACTCAGCGGGTCTAAAAATTAAAAACCCAAACCAAAAGCTGAAAATCAAAAATAGAAACTTAAAAACTAAAAATCAAAAACCAAAATTTAAAACAAAATCTAAAAATAAAAACTGAAACTAAAAACTAATGAAAAACAACTATCACCACAGATTTTGGTAAACTAATTTTATATCAAAACATTCTTTAAATTAAGACAAAACTCAATTATAAAAATTTTTAATCATAAAAAATTTCTGCGGTTTTTAAGCGCAGATCAAAATCTAGTCTGGTATTAAAATACCAAATGATTTTTCCCAAAAAAAGATCTCATATACTTTTACATTGATCCCTTTGTTGGTCAGCAATTTTTTTTTTACCGGTGATGTATATATTACCATTACTGTTTGGTGTCATATATTTATTTATTTTTGACTGGATCTAAAATTAACAATTGTCAAACAAAAAGTAATTTTTATTTTCTAAATACTATTAAATAGATGGATGTTAACATATGTGCGGGCAATAATATAACTTAAAAATTTTATGAATACTTATTTCATATACATTCTATAATATTATCTGAGAAGTCTTTTTCTTACGTCTCACGGTCACATTATTTTTAACGATGGTTAATTACAACGGTATCTTTAATGAATAAAATATATATAATTGCCATTATTAAAAATTGTATTTTATTTTCTTTCTATTTTTGTTTAGATTCTTTTTTCTTTATATTTTGCATATAACCTTATAATAATATCATTTATATAAAAAAAAAGACAATAGATTTAATTTATGTGTGATTCATAACATAGAAAGTTCACAAAATAATATTGATTTTAAAATATATAAATAATCTTCATTTTAAAAGATAAACTTAAACAACATAACATGTATTTTAAAATTAATAAATATTGTATTTAACTCAATCTATTACTCAAATTAAAAAAAAAAAACAAAAAAAATTAATAACACAAACTTAGATATCTATAGTGAATAATTTTCCTTTTCTTTTCTTTTCTTTTCTAAGTTTCCTTTTTAAATTCCAAATAATATATATAATAAAGAAAGAATTTATAAAATTTAAAACTAAAATATTATCTATATATAATTCTATTTCATAAAAATAAAGTTTACAAAAATAATCTCCATATTAAAGTAAACAAATAATATTCTATTTAAAATTTTATCGGTTATGTTTTAAAAAACTTTGTACCGTTCGTCAATTTATTTTTCTAATCTTATTTTTAAAAATTACCATATACCAAACTATTAAGATGAATAACCAAACAAATACAATGAATATAACTAATTCGATTTGGCTGAATGAGATTGAAAACAGTTGTACTTTAATTTCAAAGAATATATATAACATAATATACTCACAAAATGAGTAATTGAACCAATCCAATTCTTTTATCTAAAGTCAAAACTTTTACGAAGAATAATATATTATTATTTATAGTAATATATTTTTATACATATAAATTATAATTTAACATCTATATTTATTATACTGTATATTAACTTATTATTTATTTTTCTTATATGTATATTTAGTCTTATTTATTTTTGTTTTTTATATCAAATAATAATAACATGGTAGATGTTTAATGTAATATTTCTATTTTTTATATTGTACATATATTAATTTTTTATTTTTTATATTGTATATTTTCCTATTTTTTATTTTTTTTAGAAACAATGTCACGCAACTTCTACCAGAAGAAGAATTCTATGTTGATGTGGACTCAAAAGATCTCTTTTATTAGTGTAGATTACTATTTTTCTCTTATAAATATGAGTAGAAATAGCAATTCTCTCTTTTATTTTATTTTATTTTTGATAAAATGTAAATTTATACCAAAAAATGGAACATTAATAGTTTTTACAAAAGCTAAAAGCAGGAAGTTACAAATGGTTCAAAAAAAATAAAAGACCATATTGAAACTAAGGGAAGACTTTGCAGTGAGAATTACTCATGCTGAAACCATAAGGAGAGAAGCCCTTGGCAGCGTCGAAGGGGAAGTCGAGCAAGGAGAGTATCCCTAATCTGCATGTCAAGATGCCTGAACAATACAAAAGCATATTGAGAAGTACCATTGTGGATGCGACTGTTCATTTCCCTCCAAATAATGGAGATGAGAGCTTGCACTGAAAGGCGAATCAAGGTGCGAGAGAGACCGTATGGTGGAGAGAACAACCATTGCATCAGGTCCTGCCAGTAGGTAAGAGAGGCCCTGGACTGACCAAGCCGCAGGAGCAGCTGAGACCAGACCTGAATAGAAACAGAGCATTGGAGGAAGAGGTGATCTCTAGTCTCAGCTATTTGCCTGCAGAGAGCACATGAGGAGTCTATTGTTGGGTTCCAAAGAGCCAGCCTGGTCCCGGGGTAGGAATGTCAATTGGATGGACTGTATGGATTTGAGCGTGTCTAGATAGGCATTGTTTTTGGGTGTTTTTGGTCGGAGCCTAAATAGCACCATGTCCAAATAAGACCATGTCCAAATAGGACCATGACCAGTTAGACTGCCTATGGAATTCAGATGTCCATTTAATGTAAAAAGTCTGATTTTCAATTTAAAAGATGTATAAATTCGAAATGTCATATATAACATCTTAAACATATTTAAACTTCATGTTTTACAAAAGATATTTAGACATAAACTTCATATTTCACAAAAGATATTTAAAGTCTTAAACTTAAACATAAACTCCATGTCTTACAAAAACCAAAGTACTTAAATTTAGAATTAAACTTTAATTACTCAGATCAAAGTAATAGGAATGGTGGTAATGCTTGCAGACAACATTAGTAGCACCATCAGGCAATCTATCTCCTATATCAAAAAAAAATCCAACACTTGCAGGCAATCATCTTGTACATCATCCTCATTCTGATCAGGAACATCATCTTCATTCTCATCCATCGTCCCATCAACACTCAAATAATCATCATCATCATTAAGGTTCAAAGCATTCTCATCCATCTGAACAAAATAAATAAGTAAATGAGCGAACCCATCAGAGTAGATCACTGAAACAAAGCTTACATGCATTCTCCAAGAACAAGACAATAAGGTAAAGTACAAAGCTAAGACTTAATTACACATGAAGCTCTACAAAAAATGTTCGGTTCAGTCGCATTATCAGTGAAGATGAATCGGTGAACCTAGATGAAGCTCTAAAGTCTAAACTCAACACCTAGATAACTCGGTGAACCTAGAATCGCAAACCCATCAAATCAAAATAGGAGACGAGTCATTTCACAGAGAAAATGCAAAAACTAAATCGCAAAAGGAGAAGAAATAGAGCTTCGGATCGTGGCACGGAGAAGTGTGGTTGTGACTCAATCAGAGAGAGCAAGAGGAGAAGAAGAGAGATATGTTTCCAGAGTTGATTTTTTCCCATATACTAAAACCCTAGATATTTTTAAGATATGGGCGGTCCATGTCCATTTGGTTTTGTCCATTGGACTTTGAACGAGCGTGTTCTATTTGGACAGAAAATATTTCAGACGGATTTGGGTGTGACCATATTAATCCATATCGATTTGGACATTGACCGCCCATGGACAGTGTGCCCAATTGACATCCCTATTCTGAGGGGAAATCGATCGAGGTTGCAAATCCAGAATTGAAAAGCATGCTTAGGAACTGCATAATTAAACCAGACCACTTTCTGCGAGTTAACCTTTGGGGCAGAAGGTCTAAAATATTCTCAAGTCTTTTTAGTTGAGAAGACAAAAAAGCGATTACCATCTGTTCCCCAAGTAAATAATACAAGGCCTGAGACAGCAAGAGGAGGCTGGAGTAGCAACAAAGTCTCACTAAGAAGAGAGATAGATGCGTTTTGAGTCAGAGCGGAGGGTAAAAACCAACCAGAGACCACATCTTTCAGCAACCGTAGCTTTAATATTAATACCCATCTCAACAACCGGGCCATGTTGAGACCAGTTATCATACCAGTAACTAGCTGTTTGACCGTTTTCCAGCGAGCAGCCAAGAGCTTTTTTGCTAGGGTACGCAGAGACACAAGAGCTCGCCAAATCCATGAGTGGCTCTGCCTTATCTTCAACCATCCAGAAATTCTCTATTTTTACTCTATAATTAGAGATTTTGCTACTTTTAAAAAAATACATTGGATCAAACTTCACATCTATTATAGATATCACAAAAGTTGCAAGGCAAAGATGCTCATGAAACACAACATCAGTAGATTTATCAATTAAATACAGAAGTTTAAAATACAGGAAGTTTGAAATTTGTTGTTTTCAATTGAAAGCTACAAACAACAAGCAAAAATACAACATTTTTGATTCAGTTCCAGACAAAAACAAATGAATGTTCTTAGTCTTGCAGAATCTGAAACTCACAGACTGTAATCAATGTAGTTCAGGTGATAGGTCATGTCTACAAATGTCTCCACGACATAGCGGACATACTCTGCATTGCCATGAAAGCATTGTCAGATCTCATCTCATTCACGAAAAAGTAAAAAAAAAACAAAAGATGTCATCACAAATCCAGATGAATCATACCTGTGAATCTCTTTAAGCCATTTATCCACACATGTTCTATGGAATTCATGATGACAAGGAAGTGTCCTTATAGTGTCTCCTTCTTCATACTCCACAAGACATATATAACATCTGAAAGATTACAGCAAGAAATTGTTTTAACCATAACGACTCGACATATTAGTAAGTAAAAGAACCAATTAGTAGAAGGCATTATTACTGTGATGAATCTTCGTTTTGTGATTTAGTATACTGTTTTACAGGTAATAAGTCCACAACATCGTTAGGTGCAGGAACAGATCCTATTGATGATACTGATGGTTGTTGAGAGGATAATACAACAGATTGCTGATGAATTTCATCAAGAACCTAAAATGAATATAAACGCTAGCATATAAGAGAGGAAAGCGTGTGTGACAGAAGTTGGTAATGTGAAGACAAAGTATATACCTCAAAGAGAGCTTCAGCCAGCAATACTATCCTTGAGATGCTAGCTCTTGCATTTGTTTCATCGGTTGTTGATGTTGTTGTTGCGGAACCACGGTTAGTACCAGCACGACATGTGCAACGACCTGCTTGATCTAGACCTGATAAGACACAAGCTCTATCATGATGGCCTGTGACACTCTCAAACCTGCTTCCCAATCTTTGAAGAGCACGAACCTGTTGTTACAACAGTTTATTAGATCTTAAGTTGAACAGAGAACATCAAAGGATGTTGTAATAATCAAACCTGAGATCTTATTCTCCTCCTTCTCTCAAGGAAATCTGACCGGTGTTCTAATAAACCTTGATACCTCCCTTCTCTAACCAGAGGACTCGGCGTCTGTTGATCTTGAGTTCCGAATAACGTCCTTCTTATGCTAGAAGCAGAACGGTTTAGTAGAGAAGTTGAAGTCACAGGAGCATCCTCTGCTGCTGAGTTATCAGCAGAGAAGAGATCAATATCATCTTCTCCCTGATGTGAAGGACGGAATGTGAAATCAGAGAGCGAAGAACGACGAAGAACTCTGTCACGGAGTCTTCCAACACTCAAGGTTCTGCTAAAACTAACATTCCGGTCAACGGAAGGTTCACGAACAACAACTTGTCTTTCCACACCATTAACTACTCTGGAAGAAGAAGTATCATCATCATCTCCATATCTCATGTCTCTAACAACATTGTCAGGGATTCTCGGAGACTCAGTGAGGCTAGGAGCAGGTTGTGAAGTAGTGTTGAAGGATCTAGAGCTTGAAGCTCTGCTGAGTCTAGAGCTTATGTTACCAGGAAGGAACTTGAAATGCGAAAAAACACGACTTGGAGGAGTTGAAGATGGTTCTTGAACCGAAGAACCTCCAACATTTCTTACTTCTTCTTCTTCTCCAACAACAACACTACAATCATCATCAAGCTCAAGCTCAAGCTCGTTTTCAGGCTTCTTCAGTTCTTCAGCAACATAGCAGTCTCCTTGATTCATAGATTCTATTCTTCTTCCGTTACATGCCTGAAGAGATCAAAGATTCATCAATTCTGACCTAATTTCAGATTTTGTTATTAATTTAGAGATTGCATTGAAAATTGAATACTGAACCTGTTGATCAACGTCATCGTCACTATCGTGAGAAGTAGAAGAAGAAGAAGCAAGGCAAGAAGAGTGAAGAGAACAAAGGAGACTCATTGGTTTTCTCCTCCTTCCACCACCATTACTACTCCGAGGTTCAGAATCTTCTCTCGCCGAGCCTCGGCATGATTTGCTCCGCCCAGATCCCATCTTCTTATCTCTCAATTACATCATTGCCACAAGCTTCCCAATCTTCAAAATCAAAATCTCCAATTAAAAAATCGAAAGCCCTAAAATATTGAATTTTTTTAGATCTGAATCTGGATTTCGACAAGGGAACAAACAAGAGTACCTCAAAACGCGATGATATAATAATAATGTAGCAAAAACTAAGAAGAAGCGGTTTGTTTAATCAAAGAGAGATGCTTTGAACGAAAGGAAACGTTTTTTTTTTTTTTTTTTGAGGTAATCGGAGTTATCGAAGAAGGAGACGAGGCACCTATCTGCGATAGAGAGAGAGACTTTTACGGGAAGTGTGTGTGTGTTGTTTGTTCGAACGAGAGGGAACACTAAACCAAACTCCACTTTTCTTTAAATCCCTTGATTTTAATTTTCTCCTTTCTTCAATACAGTATGATTTTTTTACCGTTTGAATTTTTTTTGTCTTTTTTACTATCATGATTGGACTTGATTAACGACTATAATTAAAAAGAAGTTTTTGAAACGGTCATAGTGATCACTAGCAGGGGAAACAAAAACTTAGCTACAAAGACCAGAGTCTCGACATGCGGTGTAAAGACCAGAGTCCAAAGCAAAAAACACTTCTTCGAACCCAAAAGAAAATATAAAGGCAAACACAACAAGACATAAACTAACGGATAGCTAAGCTCCCATTAAATACAGAAAAAATAAGGCTTTCACTCGAAATTAACTAAGAGTGGGAACAAAAAGCAGCAGACGTGGGACTACGAAGCTCATAGACCACAAACCACACAGAAAATATAGCTGGAGACTGAGAAGGAACCAAGGCAAGAAGTAAACCCCACTACGATCAACGATCAGCGAACACAAAAGAATGCAAACGACAATCTAAATTTATATCCACCTAATATTCACCTTTTTTTTTTAACACCACCTAATATTCACTTAAAAGAGTTTAAATCAAGGACTTTATATCCCCACAAGAAATTAAACTTATACCTCAGCTTATCCCCCACTGTCTCACTTGCCGACCTTGACCCTCAAGAGGTTAGCCTTACAAAAACTGAACCATAAAGATCAGAGTAGACAAGTTAAAGATTCAGATAAAAAGGCTAATTGAAGATAACCTAATAAGGCAAACGAAGATTACCGAATGCAACTCAAACTCCTGAACAAGCAGAAGACGGAATCATAAGACAAACCACTCTAACATAAAAGAGCCTAAAAGCACAAATCTATGTAAATAGAGACGCTCCCTCCAAAGGCAGAGCAAGCCCGAGGAGAAAAGCCAAGATCGAGAGAGGAGCGCTAAAATTCTGACGCATCTACACCAGCAGAAACGGAGGAACAACATATCAGCTAGGACGATTTACTGGTTTATACATGAAAGCTAGTCATGCTGCTGAACTAACTGCAGGATACTATAACCCATCAAACCGTGTGCCATTGGCCATTGGGCCACAAATATTTTTGAATGAGCATGGAGAAGCACTAGCTGATCCAGAAGGTCTGACTTAGTTTTCTTATTTCTCTACAAGTGTTTGTTTCTTTAACTGAAGTTTGGTTATGTGTGGGAAGGTGGTCAATGCAGCTTGGGGAGGTAAGGGACTTTTTATTGCTGGAGAGAATGCGCTAACTTCTTTCCATAGAGAAGATTGTATGAGACTAAACGAAATGGCTAAACCAAGAAACCATCCAGATATCTTTCACTTCTCTTTTTTCACTTATCGACAATCTTCTCCTTGTTGTTCAAGGATCTATTTGCTTTACAGATTTGGACTGCTTTATAAAACACATACATGGTGAGATTTAACATACACTCAATCTCGCATGTCTACATTGCTAAAGTTGTGGTTCTTAAAATTCATTGTATGTTTTTGCAGGTGAAATACAGAGAGATAAAGAGTGGTTGGAAATCAAAACCGCTCCATAAAAGTTGCAGGGTTTTTAGGGGATTTGACGCAAGTTTTTTGCTTGAACTTTGAAACATCAAAATCTGTTTTTTACTTCTTGTTCACAAGGCTAAATCTGATATTTCATATGTAAACCCCTAATTAGTTGATTTTGAAATAACTAATAAACCACCTTTCCTTGTGCGAATTTTATGTCTAAAATGTAAATATCATCTATGTATTCACTTTTAAAATTATACATGCGAATCTTATAAGTTATAAAGGTTTTGTTTAAAATAGTTAAATGCAATTATTCTGAACCCACTCAAGTAGAGCATCTACTTTTTCAGATTTATTTTGGCAACTTATGCTTACAAGTTACAAGTAGTCAGTCATTGGTACAGAGAGGCAATTTTCAAATGAGATGCTCTCTTGCACACGTTTTTAGTTAAATTAATTAATAATAATAAAAAGTAAACAGGAGAAAGAAAATACTAGTGTAATAAACTTTAGGTTTGAGTTCGGTTCTGTCCTTGAATATCAATTTTTGTACAAGGCGACAATTGAAGGATTAAACCGGATTTAGTCAGTAGGAAAGTATATCATGAAAAAATATTAATTAATGTGTAATTGATGGAGCACAAAATGTTACACCTAAAATCTTTTGACTAAATTGCTCGAATCCGATTTCAATGATGTCATTAACTTTGGTCCAAAGTTAAATATTCAAAGTTAAATGTTTTTCTTGTACACATATATTCTGATAAGATCTAGATTTCTCAGCATTCTATTCTTATAAGTTCTAAGAACTTAGTATATAAACAGTCTTTAAACAGGTACATTTAATATACAGAAGAACTCGATGTAAAAAAAAATATAATAATAATATACAGAAGAACTATAAGGGCATTTAGAAATGCATTGTTAGTAAACTTAAACATTGGGTGTTGTTAACTCCGGTCAGGCAATAACTCCTAAGCAACAACTGTGATCAAAGCCACGCAAGCTTGTTATTAAAATTATAGGAAATTCTACTAGCAACGGTGTGTTGACATAACAGAAGAGTAGTTTAGTGAGTTACAAAAAAAAAGGTATTATTGGTGTAAGGAAAAAAATATCAGATTTGATAATAATAAACCAATAATCAGAAGAATACTCTCTCTCAATTGTTTAATACTAAAGTATTTCGAGTGCAACAACACCTTTCTCCACGTCTATTCAGTCCAGCTTTATTATGCCATTCACCAAAACAGATTCTATCGGTCATACATTGGCAACAATCATAATCATTCACATTAATCAATACAGATACGTTAATATATGCTCCTGTGCATTATGTTTTTTCTATATATACACTATCCAAAAATGACACAAAAACAATATCCAAATATAAAACCACTAATATTATTCGAATAAAACCATCACCGAAACCAAAACGAATCTGAAAATATGGAAATCAACTTCAATTTCTTTTCAAAGTCCTTCAAAACTTGCTAAAGAATCTTAATAGGAACCATAATACAAACGAATCCGATACCAACCCAACGAGATTCAGTTTCGATGGTTTCTAAACAAAACCAAAAACCTGAAAATCAAACTCAGAGATTCGATAGAAGAAACTTACCTGCGACATCATCACCAACATATGCCAATGAAGAAGCAGCTTAAAACCCTGAAATTTCTCAGCACGCCATTAAGGATACAGCTTCGAGATTTACATCAGAATCTACAAATCGAGTGGTTATCACAAAAACCTAACTCAATGACCCAACGGAAAGAATTCAATTACAAGATCTATATTTAAGACAACACTAGATCCTGTAATATCAAGAGCACTTCAAAACTAAACAAATGTTTTAGTAAACCCAATACGATGAAACAAAACAAAACAAGATTTGTCAGATCTGAAAGTTAGAGACTTTCTCTATCTTTCTTTCACCTCGGACTCGGATTCACTTGATACAAGGCGGGATCCGATCCCTGCTCACAAGCCAACCATGAAAAGCCACGTGGCGGTGTCAGCCAATCAGTTCCCGACCTGCACCAAGCGAATCAGAGGCCGCGGTAACATACTTCGTCATCCTCCTCCTCCTCGGACCTTCTCTTCTCTCTCTTGATGGAAAAGAATGAGAGAGAGAGAACACAGTTGCCATATCTGGCAAAGATTTGTTATCTATCTAATTCGTGGATACATTAGCCTCCTTCGACGTGTATTTAATGAGAATAACAGACCATTCATGTATCGACGCGTGTCTGTTTTGGAAAAGTCTTCTCCTTTCGCAGAGTCGTGTATCCTGACTATTATCACGCGATTCTCACGTAACTCACGTGGAACGGGTGTTTGAACTTTGTTTTTCGTTTATTTAGGTTTGTACTCTTGTTTTGTATCCTATTTTTATGCTAAGTTAAAAAAAAAAAAAAACTAAGTTAATCGTTATTCATGACAAAATATGCATATTCAGAGCAATTCCTTCAGGTTGCTTCCACAAGAAATAACTTCTGATAAGAATTTCGTTTCCAAGAATTGTTCTAAACGTAGTCTTGCGGTGATTGTTTCCAAGCTCTAGTCCAGGCCCAAAACTTCGTTAAGTCCAGGGTTTTCTCAATCCAAGAAAAAAAAAATTACATGTAAAATATGAGAATTCCGAAAAAAATACGAATTTTGCATGAATTGCCAAAAAAAACTGTACTGGCAAAATAAAAACATGTACTTTTGTTGACTTTGTTAGTTTATTAAGAAACTTACGATTAATTCACTATTTGACACATCGTTAACGAGCAGTTAAGACTGTGTTAACTCGACGTTAAATATAGGTTTAATCAAATGGTAAAGTATTTTACCACTAGCCTAGTGGCTCTTTCAAAATATTTACTCACACATTTACTTTTATTGGTACTGATTGAATATAAAAAAATTTCTCTAATAACTTAGAAAATCTTTAAAATTTCAAAAAATTGAAAGAATAAAGATTTTTATAAAATTAATTTTGAAATTAAAATTAAAAAATAAAATTTTATTTTTTTAAAAAAGAAAATCAAAAATTTCCAAAATTTTCAATTTTGTTTTAAATTTAAAAAAAAAAAATTCAAAGAAAAAGCAAAAAAAAAAGTTACATGTATCACCTAAAAATTAAAATTGCACTCATAATGGGTACAATATTTATTTTAATCATTTTAATTTAATTTTAATATGTGGGTATCTTTTATGTGTGTATAATTAATTTCAATTTTTGACCATTTTTTTTAAAAAAAATTAAAATTTTGGAATATTTTTGACTTTTTTATAGAAAATATATATATATATATATATTTTTAATTTTAATTTAAAATTAATTTTATAGAAAATTTCTTTATTTTCAGTTTTTTAAAAAAGTTTTTAGAGAATTTTTTTTATATTCAATCAGTACCAAATAAAATTAACTTCGTTAGTAAATATATTGAAAATACCATTAGCCTAGTGATAAAGTAACTTGCCTTTTAATCTAATCAACCTGAGTTCTTATTGAAGTATCTAAGTTCTTATTGAAGTGTACAATTTAAGTGGTTCGTAGGTAAGTGCCGTGACGCAAGTGCTTATGCTTTCCATGGCAGACAGAATATAAAGTTCCGATAAAGTAACTTTTGTGTTGTTGGATGAAAAATAAGCTTACTTCGGACAAGAAAACTCGAATATCATGATTTTCCTTTATGTTCTACATCTTTGGGAGAGGGGGCAAGAATGTTCATTTGATAATATTATGAAACAATTATTACATATCTTAGAAAATAAAAACCAGCCCAAAAACTATTTTTAAAAACTAATTAACTAAAGTTTAAAAAGGAAAATCAAATAAGACAAGCGCCCCTAATGCTTATGAGCAGAACTGCAACGAGATGGGATGTAATTATGATCAGACGGTCTAAACCTAAGATCACAGTTAAGGTTACACTCGAACTTGACCGATCCTACTGGCCCGACTCCCCAACGAGCCTTTGACCCACCTTTGAGTTCGAAAACAATCACATCTTGTTTAATCGCATACTCTATAGCTTCGACCATTGATGAACTACTCAGTGGTATTGGAGATGACTGAACCACGTAATGAAACAAAACTGAATTCTCCTTAGGAACTTCGAACTCGTCCTGTTTTAAATACGCTATTATTTTACCTTCGTAGCTTAGCTTAAAACTGGTTTTATCAAACAACGCAGGAGCTTTGCCATTATCGTTCTCTGCGCGAATTACAATCGTTAGCTGCGTCTGCATGACTCCAGCTACATCATACCTGGTTCAAAAAAAAAAAAAACAAAGAAGAAAAGAAATCGGTAATGCTCAAATTTTTCAAGATAAAGACAAAGGGAAGAGTCTTGGTTTACTTTAAGAGGTCGAGGTGAGCATGCTGGACGCTAATGATGGGAACTCGCGGGTGAATGACCATGTAACCAGCGAAGATTACAATGCCACCAATTATCACAGCAACAGAGATGATGGCACAGATGATGCCTGCACACCAGATGAAAGGGCTTGTAGCATGGGTAGAGGACAATCTGGGCATATTATTATGTGGTTCTCGGACTTGGGTTTTAGTTAAGGATTTGATGAGACAGCATCCAGCCTGGGACCAGGGATGAGAGAGGATATAGGTACGTACTTAACACTTATTGGTGGGGAAAGCCTTGGTATCTTTCTTTCCCTTGGTGTAAAGGCGAAGATGGGTTATGCAAGTGACTTACATAATTGTACAAAGTTTGTAGACATCATCATACTGTTTAAGGAATCTTCTCATATAGTACCTCATGTGCTTTTTTTTGTTATATCTAAAAAGAGAAATTCTTAACTTGTAAGTGTTATAAATTTGCTTTATGTTTATATTAATATTAGAATATTAAATAACAAAGCATATGAAGTATTTCTCTATATTCAATGGTTTGCATATACCAAAAGGTTCATGTTACTTTAGTGTTCGTCTACATAGAGAACTAACATTCTCTCCTGAGGCTTAAGCAAGGAACTTGGAACTTGCCAATTTGATAATGCCTACAAATCTTGATCTATTGGTTACCATAAAGCTGTTGTTTACTGAACTTCAAAACAGAGTGCTAAAAGTGTGAGTGACCAACAAAGCCCTTTTTAGGAAGACAAAACTTCAGATCAGAAATGTGCGTTTCTGCCACGGCTTCTCCCACCAGAATAGTAACCGTAACCCAAGTTTGGGTAGTAGCTGTTGCTGTTATTATTAGTATGTCCGCCTCTATAGTTGGTCTGTGCAGCAAGATATGCACCCTAAACCGGGGATTTTAGTTCAGGTGGTAAAAGATTCACGGCTGTGAGTTTTGCCACATGGGTTCAAAATCCGGCCATTGGGGGATTTAACATGCGGAGACCGAAGACCGTTAAAAGTGAGCCGGTGACATCCTGGTAATACCCTTACTCGCTTCGGTCTCTAGTCTGAATCACTTCGATGGAGTCAAAATACTCGATTAGTAAAAAGAAAAGATATGCACCCTGGCCAGTTGTGGTTGAAGTGGCCTTTGAAAATGGTTACCAAATGCCTGAAATAATATGATAAAGAGAATAAAAAGTTCCATAATTATTTGCAATTTTGAGGACGAAAAGTTTCACAACTTTGGGTTGGTGAAATATATAAAGAATGAAACAAAACCTCAGGATCTTGTCTCATGTGCTAGTCACTGCTAGGGAAACTGGATGTGTTGTTCTTGTCAGCTTCTTGCAACACGGTCAAGTGGATTGCATGAGATTGTATCCAAAAAGCCATCTTCTTATAGGCAGGCTGCAACAAGCAAATAATAATGTTGACTGCTGCTTGAAATAACTTATAGATAATATTCAACTACGATAACGTCAAGCGCTGAGAAACAGATATTCATAATTAACGAATACCTTTTCCTTCCCTAGGTTCAACTGCAGTCTCTTCCCTGTGATTAATGGCGCTTGATATGCGACTATATGATCACTGGCAGTGAGATCATTAATCTAAGAGCTAATGTAATCAAAAAGATATTTGACAAAACCAGTTTTAAGCTAAGCTATGAAGGTAATATAAACAGAAGTGACCTGATGAGCTGACACTGGAAGAGGCAGAGCTTAATATGTAACGGGATATCTACTATGACCCCAATGACTTTTGCAAATAAATGAATTTAGCTTACAATTGATTAATTACTGCACGCAATCACCACAAATCATTATAACTAATCTTCAAAACTCGGAAGAACAAGGCTTGAACACTAACCTTGACGTCACTTCCTCGAAAAAGAAAGAAAACGTACTATATCACAATATAATTTAAAACATAATTAACATTCGGTTTGTCTGAGGTTCGTTAATGATTCTATACCAAAAGGTTCGAGTTCTGGTGAAAACGATTTATTAAACAATTATGCAGGATACAAAAGAAATGCTTACAACAGATATTCAACATAATGTAAGTAAATTCGGCCAGACGTAAATCTTTATAGGATAGTTCAGATGATGCAGTTAAGTGTAAATCATCATAAATCAGATAATATTATCGGTTGTCGAATCTTCTATATAAACTTTCTTATAATTGTCATATATCCTGATAAACCAGTTTTAAAAGAAAAACTAACATTCGGTTATGTAAACAAAAACATGAATAAATTTAGCATATTTTTTGTCGGCATATATAATTGAATGAATTTCATGATCCTGCTTAGTGCTTATTGATATCACTCAAATGTTTAACCCTAAGGAGTGAATTACTCTCTCAAATAAGAGGTTCAATTGTAGTACTTAGGGATCGAATTAACGGGAAACTAGGGAATCTAATAGATCTAATAGTTATAAGATTAAGCTAGGCTAATAAGTTTTAATGCAGTAAATAAATAAACTTGAAAATAGTAAACAAGATGAACAAGGTAATTGTTCAGCTTGGCAAGGATTTGTTGGATGGAAGGATGGTTGTTAGATCTAGGGTTTCTATTCAGGTAATCAGGATTATAATGCTATAGATGTCTAACAAGTTGCATGCATGATATATAAGAACTTCAATTTTTAGACAAACCTATAACTATCGCTAGTTAGACTCGTCCATTGATCTGAATGCCGACAGTATCGACCGATGTTGCTATCGCAGTGTTGGTCGATATGTGTTGCCGTCGATCGATGACTCTATAGGAATATCGATCGATATAACATCAGATCGAATCGAAACTGTGTTCATCCGAGATTCAATTAGACCGCCTATCGCACGTGCCTAAAGAAACTGAGTTTGTACAGGATGATATCAGGATGAAGATTAATAAATTAAACTATTCCAGTTCATGGTTCTAGTTCATGACTCTAGAAACAAGCATTAAAAACATCCTAACAATGAATATCACAACTTAGCAATCTATAGTTGGGGCTAATCCCACAACCTATCTGAACCCTAAATCCAACAGGTGGATCTATTCAGACATGAAGATTGTCACGGAAATCATAGATGAATAGATAAGAAATTGCAATAGATATAAAACCAAAACCAATGGAGTTCCAGGAGGACTCTGATAGGAGTTCCTCCCTTCTCTCCTAACAAAGAATAATGAATCAAAGAAAGCTTAGATATCATGTAGCCGTCAACAATGGCTTATAAATATCATAACTAGGGTTTCTGGTCGTCAAGGGTATTTTGGTAACTTGTGGGCTTCATTCGGTTATGAAATATAGTCATCCCACGTTCTGGAATTTATATCGACCGATATGAAGTGTCTCCCATCGATCGACATGCACATATCTTCTCGACAGCCTTCTCTCGCGAAGCAGACTGACCACTCTTCAGTAAAACATGTATAACTTCTGATCTAACCGTTGGATTGACCTCAAACCGGTGGCATTGAAAAGCTAACTCAAAGCTCTATCTTGTGTCAAAAGATGGGCTAAATCGCACCATTGGAAGGTCTCCATCCGTATCTAAACATCTGACGCGTCTGCGCAGTTCTGCACTTAAGAGCTCCAAAAGACACCAAAATCACAATATTTCTCCAGAACGTACCTGAACCTGTAAATACTATAAATATATTCCAAAACATAGATAATTATTATAAAAACATATCAATACCATGACCAAAAACGGGTCAAAATCATGGTATATCACTTATCCACGTGAATTAAAGCTTACCTCAAAATTCATCATAATTTGAAGTAATTCTTATCCTTGTGCAACCCAGGTTCGAGCCAGATGTGATGAGTTTTGTCATAATTTTACACTTTTTAAATAAGCAAGGAAAAACAAATACTTCATTTCCTCTATTTCAAAAAGTTTTATGTTTTAACATCTTTACACTTGTTAAAAAATATATCAAATTTTAGTTACTAATATATTATTTTTCATAATTACTTGTTTTCTACAATTTTTAACATAGAATTTGAATAAACAAAAATATTTTTGTTTACAATTTACCATTAATAATGCATTGAAAACATAAAAATGTATTTTTAAAAATATTTTTTTCTAAAAACATAGATTTTCTTGAAACGGATCAAATATATTATTTTTTCAATCTGCCCTTAAGCTCAAATCCATAGTGGTCAGACTTATAATCTCTTTTTTGATTAGGTCTAACTTTTTCTTGTAAATCTCTAAACCTAACTTTAATCATAAAATTTCGAACAAAAAGCAAGATTTTATGATTTTTAAAGACTTTTTCGAGTTTTTATCTATTTAGGTTTAATCACCACAGAGCTCCACCGTAAACTGGCAATTTTACGATCTTTTTTTGTTTTTGATAACGATTTCATGGTCTTCACAGCCGAGTTGTAAAACAGAATAATAGTACTATTTGCTTGGATTTGCTAGTATAGATGAGGTTACCACCTCAAGTATTTTTGTTTTATGAACCACCTCAACAATGTATAGAACACGAGAATTTGACTTTGGTTAATATTTTTGAGAAAAATTAAAAAAAAAAAGATTTAGTAGTTCTAAGTTCTAATATTTCTGAGTTTAACGATCCGAGATGTTTTAAGTGGTAAAAAAACATAGATTTGTGGGTTTCATAGTGATTAGTTTTTGGATATAGAAAGCTTTTGAATAAATAAAAATATTAAAACTTTTATATTTAAATATTTTTTTGTGATCACTGATTATAATTAGTCATCTAAGCGAGAATATTCTCATCTTGTAACATATATATAATCACATTATTTTGACTGGGTTGGCTCATAATTCACGACTGATGGTCAAAGTCGCCCGTGAAAAGATTAGAATGGATTCGCCTTTTAGAATTTCTTACGCTATTAAATAAAATTATTTTACTCCAAATGTGTTGATTTCGTATTTACTTTTCATAAAAGGTGTTTTATTTAATTCTCTTGACCAGTAGTTTACTTTTACAATAATTAAAGTCTTACACAAGTAATCATGTGAATGGTAGAACCAAATATAAAAGTAAAAGAGTAAACGGTAGAAATGTAGAACCAAAAAAGTAACCAAGTGAATGGTTCTTTTTCAAAAAAAATAAAAACAAGTGAATGGTAGAACAAAAAACAGTAACCAAGTGAATGGAAGAACAAAAAAGGGCATGACTATTGGTTGATGTCATATATTTATACTGCAAATTTCAAAAGGTGATTAACTCAATACATACGACCTTGATCATCAGAATTTGAATTTGAATACGTGAACTCTTCAACGTTTATATTGTTGGTGCAGTGATAATTGTTCATTTACACTTGATCAAGTTGTTACTTACATCAGTCCTGCAATTTCAGTGATATAGTTCGCACAGTAGCGGCTTTGGGTACAAGCAATACAAGCACGTGCTTCCGATCCTAATTAGATTAGTAAATTTTTCAGCCTTTAATTTGTCAATATCTTTGGTAGCGTAGTTGGTTTAAGGCTATATTTGTTGTGCGAGGTATGTCAAGTTCGAGGTGTGCTAGTTTCGTGATTTTAATTAATAGGCCAAATTTTTCTTTTTTGCTTCCGGCCCATATTTTATTCGGATCGGGCCTGAGTCTTCGCATTTTGTTCTAAGAGTTTTGACACAAGATATCATATATGAAAAGTGTAGTTAGTATTTGTTGTAAGCATAATATAAGAAGCAAACAAAATTAGTTGTTATTAACAATAATTTGTTGACAGCTTTGGGAACTTGCTTTGAGCATTGCATAAATCAATATACATTACAGTTTACATCGATAACAAAATAATTTACAATTTGAAAGAAGTGACACAGAAAATAACAAAAAAAAATATTAATCTTCTCTGTAACCTATTTAATTTTCTACATTTCCTAAACCTAAACTAAAATGTTTATACAAGTTAGAACATAACTGAAATCTATGTACAATTGAGAGTCCGGTTTGGGGTTTTATTACTCTTGTGTCTTTTCATTTTTTATAGTTTATCTCCTTAACATGGTAAAAATTCCTCACTTGCTAATTTCAGAAGGCCAAAGAAGAGTAATCTTGTAATTATCTTCATACGTCAACCTCAGGTTTTCGTCCCAAAGCAATGGGCAGTCCATTCTGAGGGAGAGCGAACGGTCCATACTGAATTCCGTCACTTGGTCCTACGATTGACCACCTGAAAATTACCAAAAAATACTCGTAAGAAAGAAAAACTCTTTCCAAAAGAAGACTAACACAACTTTTTCATGTCTACGTCAGAAATGACTATTATGATTTGTAACTAACCAGTACTTCGTGGTGAGGTGATGGATTAGAATAGAAATTTCAAGTTTAGCTAACTCGTTGCCTGGACAAGAATGAATCCCATTCCCAAATGGTATAAATGTATTTGGCTTGGGTGCTACTTCAAACCTCGATGGATCAAATTTTCCCGGATCCGAAAAGAAATCAGCATTGTGGTGAATGTTTCTGAACAGCGGCAATACTTTCCATCCTTTTGGTATCAAGTATCCTGTAGAAAAAATGTTACTTAGCATACTTCATATGTAACATATTGATATAGACATGATCCAATATACGTATGTTTATACATACCCTCGTATTCAACATCTTCTACAGCTTCTCTGAAAGTGAAAGATAAGATTGTAGCAACTCTCATTGTCTCTTGGACAACTCTAGAAGTTAGTGTCATCTTCCTTGTATCTTCCCAAGTGAGACTCTCTCCTTCTTTCTTCCCTTTCCTTATTGCCATTTGTTCTTCCTGTTTTACCAAACAAAAACCTATTAATTTACTATATTGCCACTCCTTTATGAGATCTTTTAAGTGTACTTACAGTGACAGCTTCTAGGACAGTTGGATTATCTGCTAAGTACTTGAGGATCCACGTCAGCACACTCGCGGTCGTGTCTCTTGCCGCAAAAATAACTCCGATTATGTTGTCGGAGATTTGCTCATCAGTTAAACCTTCTTTGTCTTCCATGAATGATCCGAGAAGATCTTTGTGAGTAGATTGGTTTTGTCTTCTTTTCGATAAGATGGTAGCGAGGATCTGAGCTAGCTCCTTGCGAGCTTTCATGGCTTTGTGGAATAGTGTTCCCGGGAGACTAATCGGCATCGAGTTGTAACCTTTCTCAAGAATGTAGTAGCATCGTTTTAGATCTTCTCTGTACAAGACTGCGTCTTCTCCGAGTATCGAGATCAACGCTACATTGAATGTGTACTGTTTGACAGAAAAGATCGAGTCAGAAACAGAAAAAACAGAGGATACTCTGTTTTTAAGACATAGTGACAAAAGATGTGTGTGGCTTACTGTTTTCATTTCTTGGTAAGTGTTGAGTTGAGTTCCATCCCAGGAAGTGAGAGATTCTTGGGCGATTGATTCAATGTTAGGGACCATGTTTCTGATTGAATCAGGCATGAAAGCTCTTAAGACGAGCTTTCTTAGTTTAGAGTGATAATCTCCTTGGTGGAAGAAGATGGCTTGCTTTCCAAGCATCCTCTCTTTACTCGCCGGGAAAGTAGGTTTAAACAAATGAGACTTGGTGACTAATACGAATTTCGCAGCTTCAGGGCTCGAGATCATCACGCATGGACATCCTAAGACATGAGTCCTGAACACCGAACCGTATCTGTTTTACCAAGAAATGTAATAAATAAATAAAAAGTCAACTTTTCTGTTTTATAACAAATTTCAAATTTAGTTTCTTTTTGTGTGTTTGATTGTGTGCAAAGTAAGACCTTCTCTGTTTTGATGCGAAGAAGACATTAGGGTCTTGTGAGTAAAGCTGGAAGGTTTCGCCGACGTAAGGATAACCCATTGTTCCCGGAGGAAGAGGGAGTTTCGAGGAGGACTTACGGCGGAATCCCGCGGCGGAGGTTATAAGCCTGAGTAAACAGAGAAAGAGAGCCACCGCAAAGAAAGTGAGGAACGTGTAGGAGAAATCCATTAATTTAAGTTTTTGATCAAAACCAAATTCTTCACTTGAAGTATCTTTGTGGATTATCTCCAATGGAGGTTTGTGTTGTTTGAGATGGAGATCAAGTGGGAGAGATGAATCGGTTTTATAGGCAGTGGAGGAGAGAGAGGATTTGAGTTTCCTAAAAGGGACCTTTTCTTTTTGAGAGCCAGCTAATTTGAGCAAGAGTGACCAGCGCACGTGTCGAATAGCATGCAGGGGAAACAAAAAAAAAGCCTGAGAGATTTTGACCACAATTAGCCATCGTTAATTACTTCTATTAGTATAATAATGTCTTTTTTAATTAGAATGAAGCCAAAGGAAAGGGGATATTCTGGCTCTTAAGTAGAGGCAAAGCCAAAGGAGTAGTAAATGGACGGTTTTAATTAAAGTTTGCCATGTTAATTGAAGGCTACACTAAGGATTATATTACTAGTTTAATTTGTAGCTCCAACTAAGTACAAACTCGTGATTATTTGTATTGAAGATATTTTAGAAGTAAAAATAATCATTAAAACATAAAACATAAAGAATACATGTAAATAGTTGACAAAAAAAAAGGAATACATGTGCTTCTATTGTTTGGTTCTAGTAACGTTAATCTCATTTTACACCAAAAAACGTTAATCTTAAGTCAAAAAATAAAAAAAAATAAACGTTAATCTCTTTTGCATTCAACAAAAAAAACGTTTATCTCTTTTTCAGTTGAAGATGAAAATAAACTTAAGTTAAGTTTATCTCGTTTAACGCGCTACGGACACGCATACTAGTTAAGTTTAATAAAGCTCATTTTCACTTGTTGATAAACTTTAGTCTTTAGATAACTTTATACTCCCTCCGTTTCATAATATATGTCATTCTAGACTTATTTTTTTGTCACAAATTAAGTGTCGTTTTAGAGTTTCGAGGCAAAATTTATTAGTTTTATATAATATTCTATTTTTCTAGTGGTTGAAAAGTGGTTAGGTGTATAGGTAATTGTGTTTTTATATTGGAAATATGTAAAATTAAATATTTCCTTAATCTGTGTGCAAAAACCTAAAATGACAACTAAAATGAAACGGAGGGAGTAATATATATATACGAAAAATATAATATTATGTTAAATTAATTATTTCGTTTTCTCAAATAAATAGGTGATTTCATCTATCATAATTTATATCAGTTCGGTTTTTTTTTCTGTATAACGTTTGTAAAATTATATTGTTATTGTAGCTTAACATATAATTTTGGATATAAAATTTCAGACCAATTTAAATATTTAGTTTTACCATCTCAATTTAAAAAAAAAAATCGTCTAAACTGAACTAACTATTTTTTTAAAAGTTCTAATTAGGCTAAAATATAGAATAATTTTGCTCTTTTTATTTATTTTGGTCATTCTTCTTACATTTTACGTATATATTTTAAAAGTTATATGTAATTTGATATATGTTGATCAGACTAACATTAGAAAATATGAAAAATTAAAAATATTGACTCTACCACTTTAACGATTAAAAAATCATTATTTTATTTTGAAAAGAAAATAGTAAATATTTTTAATCTGCAAATATTTTATAAATCGAGTCCAAAATTATTAAAAATAAAAAATAAAAATGCCTAATCTATTTCTAAAATATTTTTAAAATTAGTTATTATTCAAATTAATTCTTATTAGTTCAGTATATATGTTATTTACTTTTAAAAATTTAACATAAGATGGTTCATGAGAAAATATCTCAAATAGCTTTACGGAGAATTAAAAATATTTTTCTTTTTCATTTTTTAAGAAGATAAATTAAAATTATTATATAAAATTAAAATAGAAATATTGATAATGATAATTGTTATAATAGTTTTAATTTATTAAAAGAATTAGCATAATTGGCCATTATGAGAGTTAATATTAAAGAAAAATAAATTTTACTTTTTAACTATGAACTTTTTTAATTTGATAAAAGCAGAGAATGGAAAAACCACGTGGTCATGAAAACAAAAGACGCAATCTATACTATTATATAAGAAGTAAATTTGTTTAGTTGTCCTTGATTTTAGGTAAATTTGTGTATTTCCTTTTAAATAATTTCATATACAATTTATTATTTAATAAAAACGAATTTATATTAATAATATTATATTTTAGAAAATATTTTAATTATTTTGTATTAAATTGTTATCTAAAAAAATATTTTTATATTATAAAATTCAAGTCAATTTTACAGATTTATTTGTAACTTCTCCATAATTTTGTAATTTTTCTTATTTGTCATATTTTTAATAATTTATGAATAATTATGAATAATTTATCATATAATAAAACAAATTTCTATTAATAATATTCTATTTTTAGAAAATAAGATAATTCTTACGAATTATATTGTTATCTTTAAAATATATTCTTTATCATATAAATTAAAAATTAAGTTAAAATATTAATAGTTAAATATAAAGAAAGCAATGCTAATTTATCAACTTCTCCATGGTTTTATATTTTGCTTATTTATCATATTTTAATAATTTCATATATAATTTATTAAATAATAAAACGAATGTATACTAATAATACTAGATTTAAAAAAAATAAGATAATTCTTATGTATTAGATTGTTATCTTGATCATATATTTCTATTAGAAAATTGAAGTGAATTATCTGATTTGTAATTTCTCAATGATTTAGATAATTTTGATTATTTTCCATATTTTTAATAGTTTCATATAAATTTTACTATAAAATAAAAATGAATTTCTATTAAAAATTATATTTTGAGAAAATAAGATACTTCTTATGTATTATATTGTTATCTTGGAAATATATTTTTATTATAGAAATAAAAAATTAAGATAGAAAAAATTATAGCTAAAATAAATTAAAGCAACACATTTTTAAAAATATTTTTAAAAAAATTTTGTTATGTGAGTTTTGTCATTTATAATTAATTTTAAAACATAAATCATAACTTATTATATTAGTTTGAATTAATAAAATATAGAGTAATAATAAATTATACGAAAATTATGCCCGTATGTGCGGGAAAAACACCTAATATGACAATACAAAACTTTCAGCATTAAGCATTCATGATAATATATGTCACTAACAGTAAACCCACTTGTTTCAAATTTAATTATTCATAAATACTAATCTGTCTCCCGCGTTCACCGTGCAGTACAGCCATATATTTTTAGTTTATTAATAGCTATACGAATTAATCAAAACCTACATGGTTGACATGCAGATTATTCAAAACCTATGTGATTAGAACTTAAATATATTATATGTAAATTAAGTTTTGACTTTTATTTTTCTCATCATACAAGTAGGTTTAAACTAGAAATATGATCAACTTCATTAAGTATTTTGGGTTTCACAATGTTTAAATATCCATTGACTTTGTTTTTTGTATCTATCTAATGTCAGTTGACTTTGTGCTGCAAAATACAAACATAACTATTTTCTTGGAGGATCTATGACCAAGGACTTGGGTATTTATTTGCCTACTTACTAAATCAAAAATTTAGATTCTTAACTATCGCCAAATATCTTGCAAGATTAATTATTAATACATATATTCATAAGTAGTATCATTTAGTTTTAACAACTGTAGCTAAAATATTTTGAAACATACTGATGCTAGTTACACCATTTATGTCCCACCATGGAAAACAGTTAGTTTGACACACCAGATTTTGTGTAAATCACGACCTCTTTTTTCTTTTATTAGTAAAAAAATATTTATAACTTTTATAGATAGGTTATTGAAATCTAAACTAATATGTGATCTTGTTATAATCGATAAATAAAGCATAAACCTACTTTTCACTTAAAAAGCACTGAACGAACACTATATAAACACAAACTTTGACCCAAAATTAAGTTGAATTAAGAGTCAAAACTGGTCAGAGGTCGACAAACTTATGATCAACACAGAGTTCAGTGGCATTTGTCTTATCAAGGTTATGGCCTCCTTATAATCCTCTTACAAGATAAGAATAGGTGACTTTTTCACATTGAAGAAACATATACATCTCCACGTATCGTTTAATAATTACAAAATTCATATATAAACTCTAAAGTATAGTAGGGACTATATGGTGGCAAGTTGAACATAGACCGATCCAAAATTTAATGTTCTTCAACAAGAAACCTATACGCGGTCGAATAAATATGATGCATCGTTACGCACTTACGCGGCCGAAGATTGCGTCTTTTGCTGCTCGTTGGTACGTAGTCGTGGTACGACTACTTCAATCTAGTTTAAATTATATTCATATATTGAACATTGAACTATTATATGATATATTGAATTAGTATCAAACATGGCGTGCAATGCAATCATGATGGGGTTTACATCGTAAACGAGATTATTTAAACGAACAATTTCACAAAATGAATATACTACACGTCCACAGCTACATGCTTTAAGCCAAACATGTGGTGTATCAGCAGCATTTTTCTTCCCTTAGGTTTAGGTCGATAATGAGATTTAGCCATTATATTAATTTTATTTCTCTAGTGTATAATTTATTCGGAAAACGAAAAAAATATGTTATATTTATTATTTTCGTATGAACACATTCATAATTTTAATAGTTATAAATGAAGCAACGGAACAAATCATAACTATAATAGATAATACGTATGAAATAACCCAAATATTTCTTTTTTCAAAAAAAAAATAACCCAAATATTTCAGCATACCATATTCTTATATTGATTCCAATAATATTGAAATACTTTTATATATTAGATGAAATTGTGAATAAATAAAAGTCATGAACCATATTTTACGAGATATTTAGTATTTCGCTAGATAGAGAAAAATGTTACAACTGTTGTTTATTTCACAACAAAACACATTTTGCATTGCATTCAAGTTAGGGCTTAAATTATGTTGCGCGGATGTTTAAAGCAAAAACAATACTCTCTCCGTTTCAATTTATATGTCGTTGTAGGATAAAAATTTTGTTTTAAAATAAGTGTCACTTTATAATTTCAATGCAAAAATGT